TAGATAACTGAATTTGGAAGCTATCTGCAGCATTGCTAAAATACATTAGAAAGATATAGTCCATATCTGTTTTATTCAGGAAGTTGAAGTCTTTACAGTTTTATACCAGAAAAAGTTTGTCTTTATTATGAACCTATACGTTTTGTTTTGTCAGACTGTTAAAATTATCATTTACTATTTTTTTTGGCAGCCAGGCATTTTAGAGCTAACTTGTAGTTATTATGTGGCCAAAGTTTTTATATAATCATCTTCATCATCTACCTCTCTTACTAGTCTTTTTGTTTTAGTGGCCTTGTCATGTGATTTTTATTACTAATATCCTTAATTCCCTTTTGAAAGTTGGTGGTAGATAAATTCAATAAATTCAACAACTATTGAGTACCTACTTCTTGTGTTAAGTTAAATCTGTTGTCCTGGCAATAGTGAAAAAGACAGGTATGGCTTCAAGGAATTAAAAAAAAATACCTTTTTCAGAAATGACTAGGAAATGCTTTGTTCAAATATAGAACAAAGGAAACTAACATATATATATGTATACATATATACATATATAGATTGCTAAGCATGTAAAATACACATATTCATTTTATTGGTAGTTTAACATCATCATTAGGATAGATTGCCGTTATCAAAGCCTAGATGTTTTCTAGAGCTGTTTTGTTTTATTCAGATTAAAGATTCAGAACTGGAAGCTGGATCTCGAATAATCTCTGACATAGCAATGCACATATAGTCTGGCCATTGTGTTCTTAAATGTCCACACAGAGTTGTGAAGCTGGTCTTCTCTGAGAGCCCACTGCCCTCAGGCCTTTCAACTTCACTCTGGGGAAGAGCTGGCATGTGTGAGATGACCAAAGGTTGCCCAGGGAGTCTTTGAAAAAGATGATAGGCCCTCTGATAGGTACTATAAAATGATTTTGAAAAGAGAAGGAAGGCATCCCTACTTTAGTCTAAAAAGGAAAGAAAGCCTTTTTTCAATTGTTCATATTGTTCTTTTATGAAGAAGACTCTCTTATGCTTTGTGCAACTTTTAAACAAATACCCAGTCCCTTGAACATTCAGACTACTACATAAAGGCTTAGAAGGTTGCAAATACAGTGGTAGTCCATTCTATAAGTGGTTGGCCGATAGCATCATTTCCAAAAACATTGGAATTCACACACTTTAAAATGTAAATTCACTGTATCTTTTCACCATGAGCTGACTAAAAAACTAGGCTCATGAATTATTCTGCCCTAAATATGTCATCCCCTGCCTTATGAAAGAGAATATAGTTAATGCCTGAATTTTTCTGAAGCTGATTGCCCTTTAAGTGAATGTCCTTGTCTTTTCCTTCTAACTGTTGGCCTTTTGCTTATTTTACTGCTTAATAACATTTTTACTGGATAGGCAGAATAATGCCCTCCCCCACAACCAAAGATGTGCCTATCCTAATCCCCACAACCTATGAATATGTTACAATACATGTAACAAAGGGAGATTAGGTTGCAGATTGAATTAAATCTGTTCGTCATTTTACCTTAAACCCAGAGATTATCCTGGGTTATCAGAGCTGCCCAGTTTATTCACAAAGGTCCTTAAATATAGAAGAGGACATCAGAGTGAAGTGATATGAGAGGCACTTGACCATTTTTGCTGGTTTTGAGATTGAGGAGGGGACCCCAGGAGACTACAAACATGGAGACTTCTAAAGCCTGGGAAAGACAAAGAAACCTGTTTTCCCTTGAGCTTCCAAAAAAGAATGCCTCCTGACACCCAGTGAAACTCACATCAGATTTCTGACCTACAGAACTGTTAGATAATACATTGCTGTTCATTAAAGCTACTAACCTTGTAGTTGCTTGTTATGGCAACAGTAAAAACTAATACATTTACCCATGTTCCAAGAAAGGAAGAATGAAGATGAAACTTGAGGTACTTCCATCCAGAAAAAGATCTAGTGTGTGCTGAAGTTACAGTGCTTGTTGACAAGGAGATAAAAGGCCATCCATGAATTTCAGCACCCTGCTGTCACAGCAATCTACAGGTGCCTGTTCCCGGTGTAATGACCTAAAATACACTTCAAAACAATATACCTTTGTTTCATTCAGCCTCCAGTCTGCCTACTTGGCTGTCATTGGAGTGAGCTTTCCATAGAACAGATCTAATTGTGTTATTTCTCTTTAAAGCCCATTTTATGATTTTCCATTGTCTAGAGAAAAAAAACCCCACACATGTGGGCTGGCAGTCAAGGCCCTGCGACAATAGACTCTTCTGTAGCCTATGTCATACTTCTCTTTCTTGTGTACCTTGTGTTAGCCAAGGTAAGGTAATGACGTTCTGTGAGTCCAGCAATGTGCTTTGCACTTTTCTTCTTTGTACATTTCATTTCCTCTACCACCAGTGTCCTCCCAGATGTTCACACCTGCTGGCAGTCCCCTATGAATTCCCTGAGACTCAACTCAAACATTAAATTCCCTGGAAAATCAAAGAACATACCACATCAAATAAAATTGTTTGGTCTATCCTATATGCCACATTGTGACTAAAATTTTTTGTGATATTAAATTTATTTCAATTTCATTCTGTTTCATTCTGTGAGTTTCTTGAAGGTAGCAAGTGGGTCTCAATAATATATTTGTGGGATTTTAGTAACTCACATAGCTTATACAGTAGATACTCATAAATATTAAAAGAACAAATGATAATGTTTCCTGACCTGGCCAATCTACCACAAGATTCCATTTTAAAGGGAGGTTTCTGATTCCCAGGCCACTATTTGGTTACATCCTGCCTCCAAAAGTTAAGTATTGTAAAAGAAATTTTCTTACATACCTAGGGAACATTTTCATTGTAAGTAAAATTTTGACGCTGACCAGTTTACTTTGTTTGATGCCATTTCCCTTTTTAACGCTTGGAATTTCATGGATTGTATTGTATCAAAATGAAAACATCAAAATAATCTGTGTTGTTCTTTTCATGGGTCTGTTTGCAAGAATTATTTTGTGTGATGTATTTGTTTTTATTTTTTAAATATCAAGACGACTCTGAAATGTAATAGAATAGCATAGCAAGTATCAAATTCTTTGACTTTAAATACTGGAATTTTCTCTCAGTGCTTCTATTTTCTGCCTTTCTAGATTTGTTATTGATGTTAATTTCTCAGCGGTTTTACATAGGTCTGACCTTGCTGCACAAGTCTTTGCGAAAATGAGAATGTATATGGTAGAACTTGGAAACTGTGAAACAGTATTCAGATGGAATGAGTTATTTTCATAACTTTTATTATCACTTTACACTGTGACTGCAAAATGTTCACAATTTTCATGATGATGGAAGTAATTCCACTGGGAATATCTCTTTTTTACAACTGCTGTCAGAACTCAAAATCTTTAAATGGTTGGCATAATTTTTAGTGTGATCAGCAAAACACATCCTTCATGTTGCATAATAACTTATAAGTTCGGTTTACTACTTTTAAAAAGGAAAATCTTTATTAAGATGAATGAGTCGGCATTGTTAATGTTTTACATAAGAATATGATCATTAACTTGAGAAAATAGTAGAAGGAAACCATTGATAGATCATTGAAACATAAATGTATTTAAAACAGATTGTATTTTTGAAATACTATGAAACTGTTGATAAATATCTGGAAACTGTACGTTGTAATTGTAGAAATATCTAGCTTGGATACCCACTATCTGGTTTGGGTAAAGATTTGAATTCTGTCACTTTTCATAGGTGATTCACCAGGAATATTTTGCTTCCTTTGTTTTAAGGATAGCTTTATTTTTTTAATTTTTTTAAATGTTTTTATTTATTTTTGAGACAGAGAGAGACAGAGCATGAGCAGGGGAGGGGCAGAGAGAGGCGAAGACACAGAATCTGAAGCAGGCTCCAGGCTCTGGGCTGTCAGCACAGAGCCCAACGCAGGGCTCGAACTCACAGACTGTGAGATCGTGACCTGAGCCGAAGTCGGACACGTAACCAACTGAACCACCCAGGCTCCCCTTTAGGATAGCTTTAAAGTAATCTTCTGATTTAACTACTGATACTTTCATCAGAAAAGGAATGTAAAAAACCTGACTTCTTTAAATGTACCAGAGGTATCTCCTATTGTGCATTATATGGCTTATTAGAGCTAGTCTCCAGTAAATTCATTTAGAATAAAACTAGTCTATAGAGCCTAATCATGTAGATCGTGCTAGAGACTTCCCTCACCAAATATTATACTTTTCTAGAAGCCACAAAACCATTCTCATGTATGTCATGTCAGTGTCTCATCTCCTTACAAAATGCCAAATAAATTGACATATTCTTACTTCTTGTGTCTTTATGGATATTCCTCTACCAGATTTCTGCCATTACATCACACTTTACGTATTATATGCAACAAGTCTATCCTTTTTAAGTACATAAGTTTATAATGTATGATGACTTCTAATTCATTCCATGGACTTGGAGTTATCCTTGATTAGCATTTTAGTCATAATGAAACTACCAGTTGCCACTGCCCCTAGTTTTGGAGTATATTTCACTTTTAAAGCGTTCAACTCTCTCTGTCCTTTTTTTAAATTTTTTTTATTTATTTTGAGAGAGAGAGAGTGCATGCATGCATACCTGGATGTGTGCAAGCAGGGGAGGGGCAGAAGGAGAGGGAGAGAGAGAAGACTCCATACTCAGCTCTGAGCCTGATGCAGGGCTCGATCCCATGACCATGAAATCATAACAAACCAAAATCAAGAGTCAGACACTTAACTGACTAAGCCACCCAGGTGTCCCGCCCTCGGTCCTCTTGCTTGAGTATCTTTTCTTGATTATACAAAGTTCAAGATAAATTTATCTTAGCAGAATCTCTGTCCTATGATCCTTTAAACACTTTGCATGGATTCCCATGTTAACTTAATGGTATTACTATAGCTCTTAACGGTCTTTTTTAGATCTACTATATTTTTCTATGTGAATAATTGTTTCTTTGAATAACTATCAGCAACAATTGTTTTATTCTTTCCTCACAGGTACTACAGTGCAACCATTCTGCAGATGTCTGGTGTTGAAGATGATAGACTTGCGATATGGCTGGCTTCAGTTACAGCCTTCACAAATTTCATTTTCACACTCGTGGGAGTCTGGCTTGTTGAGAAAGTGGGCCGCAGGAAGCTTACCTTTGGGAGCTTAGCAGGTAGGTGACTGGATGAAGAATTCAATTACAAACTTTTCTCTAATGATGGCAAGCTCACCTTCCAAAATACAATACCAATGCTCCTTATGATCTTGTTCTCATAGCCAAATGATAGAGTTTTTTACACAAAAAGTTTTTTCTTTTAAAGAACTTAATGTTATGATATGTAACTAGAATGTGACTAGAAACTTGAATTGTAAGAACAATTTGAGTCTACAGGGGTAACATTCTGCTGCTGTTATTTTTGAGTTCTGCTCAAAGGTACAAAAGTGAAAAGAATAATTGTGCTTTTTTGTTCTTCTTTGAACAATTTGATATTCATAAACTCCCTTTTAAACATGTTTTATTTTTAAGTTTGGTATAATATGGAAGTAAATTTGGAGGTTTGTTTTTTTTTTCAAGGCTCTTTCAGCAATATAGTGTTAAAACCATATAATTTCTTCACAAAGCAGGGGCAGACTTTTTGTGTTTGAATCAGGCTCAAATTCTAAGGTAAATTCTGGTTGGTTAAGTGTGTTTTCACAAAGCCTTTCTCATTTCAAGTATCTTTTGTCTTTGAATTCTGTACATTTCATTATTTATTTCTTTGTTAACACAAAGCCTGTTTCATTTGACAGGATGAGACCCATCTTTGCCAATGTCTTCTCTTGTTGCATCATATACTTTTCTTATTTTTTTCATACATACAGATTGCTAATTATCAATTATCTGTCCTCCAGTAACTCCTTTATAAGTTTATTAGAGTAAGAAAAGATTTTTTCATTAAAATGTGAAGTTTCCAGGCCAGCATGAGCTAACTTCTATTTTAACCAAATTATACCTTTAAACACTGATCTAATAGCACTGCTTCAGGCATTCATCCCAGATTTTAATGAGAAAATACATTCTGAGCTGCAACCTCAGCTATTAGGAACTTGTAGTCTCTGCCATCCCTGCCTCCAGAAGGAAGAGTGGAATGCTTCTACCCTCTGTTCTTGCCTAACCAGTGGGAGGACTTGAGTCTGTCATGTAAGTGGAACTGAGGGGAAGGTGAACAAAAATGGTCTGGTTAAGAGGCAAAGGTAATCACAACAGCCCAGGTACACAGGGAAGCAGAAGGGCAAGTGAGTGAGGAAAGGTGAAGGACAAGGAGGCTAAAAACCATCCATTCATAAACTTGTCAAACACTTATGTGTTCATAAACACATAAACCAGAAGTGTTTAGTCTGGAAAAAAGACTAAAGGGAGACCTAAGAGATATCATATTCTTTTTTTTTGTTTGTTTGTTTACTTTTGAGAGAGAGAGAGGGACAGAGTGTGAGCCGGGGAGGGGCAGAGAGAGAGGGAGACACAGAATCTGAAGCAGGCTCCAGGCTCTGAGCTGTCAGCAACAGAGCTCAACACAGGGCTCGAACCCACGAACCATGAGATCGTGACTTGAGCCAAAGTTGGCCGCTCAACTGACTGAGCCACCCAGGTGCCCTGAGAGGAATCTTATTTTTGCAGATGATAGATGTTATAAGGGCATAATTTTTACTTGATATGAGAAAAATATTCTTAATAGAGCTTTCCAATAATGAATTTGGCTGCCTCATTAGGATGGTAAACTGTGAGCAGAAGGATAGATGACCATCAGATAGTGATGTGCTAAAAATAAATTCCTACAGTTGATTAGAAATTGGGTTTGCTGACTTCTGAGGTTCAGATCAACCCTAAGAAGAGGTAAAAGCTACTTTAAACATTTTTAAATAGATACCTACCCTTCCTTTTCAGCAAGGCCTCCATTAACTGCTACTTCAAGAGGTCTATTTTTTAAATAGAATTTCTGATTAAATTTGGCTTTTGAGATCTGGGGAAAACTGCTGGTTTTGAGATCAGGGAAAAACATTTTTTCTGGTAGCCTTGGTCCCTTTATTTCTTGTATTCCAATGAGACATTTTCTCATCAGTTGAGGTTTTTCAGGCTTTGTAGATCTAAAGCCATACTGCTTGGGTTGGAATTTTATGACTTTGGGCAAGTTTCCATTTTCTCATAGGTAAAATGCAATTAATTATAGTCCCTACTTCATAGGGTTTTAATCAGAACTGAACACATTTATACACGTATGGCATTTGAAACTCTTCCTGACACAGTAAGGTGCCTAGCACATCTTAGCTATCACAGCATTATTATTGACAGAGTGATTCTTTGTTGTTTTAACCATAATGTGAAACCAATATGCATCATTGGAATCCAGGAGCTTTCCTGAAGCCTTCTAGCTGATGTCATGTTTCACCTCTCAGTGTAGGTACTCTGCTCCAAGGATTTCCAGAGCCCATCCCTGGCTATTAAGAGGAAGTATTAAGACCATTAATTGGGGGGGCAATACCAAGAGATTTCAAGTACTGATTTTTATGAGCAACCCATAGGCACTTTTCTTTTCTGCCTTGATTTCTTTTCAGCCAAAACCACCAACACCCCAGCTCTGCACATTACTAAAACCATGCTGATTGATCTGGCATGAAAGAGATATTCCATCAAGTAAACACCTGATTTCCTTGTTATGTTGCCAATTAAAGTGATGATGTAGATATTACAGTGGATTAGGAGGTAAAAGGCCTAGTTTTTATTTTTTTTAAGTTTATTTATTTCAAGAGAGAGAGCAAAAGAGAGCAAGAAAATGCCAGCAAGAGAGGGGCCGAGAGAGAGAATCACAAGTAGCCTCCACTCTGTCAGCACAGAGCCCAAACAGGGCTCAAACTCATGCGCCATGAGATCATGACCTGAGCCGGAGTCAAGAGTAGGATGCTTACCCAATGATTGAGCCACCCAGGTGCCCCAGAAGGCCTAGTTTCTTGTCATAGGTCTCCCCTTTTACCTGTACATATACATGTAAATAGGACTGTTTCATGCAGTTCTGGTTTTTAACCGATTTAATAGGTCCCAGTAGAACCTAATGACAAAGGGAAGTTTACACATTCAGAAGAAAACTTGCTGTTTCACAGCCTTGCTAGTGGATTAGTATTACTCCAGTGTGACCCTTCCAGTAGGTGCTCATTTCACTTCGTGATACCACTTGATTCTTGTGTACTTATTTCAGTGTTTTTGATATATACTTACACTTATAAGTTATATACTTATTTAAATGTTTTATTTTCATTTTTGTGTAGGTATAAATATTCTTATAGTGCTAACTATTAGAATACTGTTTTATTTAAAATTTTCTAAAATTAGCCTAGAATTTTTATTTATTTTTTTTTCAACGTTTATTTATTTTGGGGACAGAGAGAGACAGAGCATGAACGGGGGAGGGGCAGAGAGAGGAGACACAGGAGGTATCAAGAAGCAGGCTCCAGGCTCTGGGCCATCAGCCAGAAACCCACGGCAGCGGGGCACCAAACTCACGGACATGAATAAGTGACCTGGCTGAAGTCAGTTAACCGACCCTAAAATACCAAGCCTAATTAAATCTTTGATTTGATTTTGTCCCCTGTCTTGCATTTTTATATGATCTATTTTTCTAAGTTTGCTTATTTTGAGAAAGAGAGAGCAGGGGAGGGGCAGAGAGAGACGGACAGAGAGAGAATCCCAAGCAGGCTTCACACTGTCAGCACAGAGCCCAAAGCCATTGAGATCATGACCTGAGCCAAAAGCAAGAGTCAGATGCTTAACTGACTGAGCTACCCAGGTACCCCTGATTTATTTTATCATATTGGGTTAAAAATAGTGGGAAAAGTTAAATCAAAATAATTTTTAAATAGGCACTCATTCATTAAAAATTACAACAAATAAACTATGCATATCTAGACCTGGACACAAGAACTCTTTATACAAAGAAATACAAAATATAGAGTCCATGAGTGATTTTAAATGGAGGACATTTTATGGTATTCTTACCTTAGAGCTTGGTCAGAGAAGTAGTCTTTCTTGTAAATACTACAAATTTAAAGACAACCTCTTGATTCTTTTAATAAAAGGTCTATATCTATGTAGCTTTACTGTAGTTAATCAGAAAACCAGAAACACTGTTATTTTTCCCCAAGGATCTTGCTAGTAGAATATTTCTGAAAACATCACTCAGAGGCTGTCTCCATCAAAATTACCAGAGGTACTTATTTTGAAATATGCATTCATGGACCTTATCCCAGACTTATTAAATTAGGATCTCTGAAGACGGGGTCTGGAGCATGTACTTTATTTTTTTTTAATATAATTTATTGTCAAATTGGCTTACATATAACACCCAGTGCTCATCCCAACAAGTGCCCTCCTCAATGCTTATCACCCATTTCCGCCTCTCCCTCACCCCCATCAACCCTCAGTTTGTTCTCTGTATTCAAGAGTCTATTATGGTTTGCCTCCCCTGGAGCATGTACTTTAAACAGGTTCCCCAGGGGCACCTGGGTGGCTCAGTTGCTTAAGCATCCAACTCTTGGCTTCGGCTCAGGTCATGATCTCATGTTTTGTGAGATGAAGGCACATGTTAGTCTCTGTGCTGACAGCACTGAGCCTGCTTGTAATTCTCTCTTGTGCTCTTTTTCTCTGACCCTCCCCTGCTTGTAATCTCTCTTTCTCTCAAAATAAATAAATAAATTAAAAAAAAAAATAGGTTCCCCAGGAGATACCTCTGTACACAAAGTGTGCTTTATTAGAGTCATGGGAAGGGGAATTACTATTTTTCTAAGTACTTATTAATTATCCAGCCTTGCACCAGGTAGTTAATGTAACTTATAACATCTGATATTTTTGAGCATGTTATTTATCCAACACACTTCACTTTCTGTGAAGAACATCTTTATTAGGAAAATTATATCAGAATCGCAAAATTTTACAGTATACTTAGTTAAGAGAAACTCTTCTTTTAAAATATAAAGAATATGCCCAATGTTCATAGAACACTGGAGAATATCTAAGGCCTTCCTTAATTGGACTTAAATCTGGGTTGGAGTAATGATTCATCAGTCAATAACTATAATTTGAATACTGGCAAGTGGCTGATAAGATATCTGTAAGCTATTAAATGAAAGGAAATAGATAATTCAAGTAGTTCTAAGCCTTAAAGGTATATGAATGAATATATGACAGGAGTAGGTGATCTTTTTAAAATTTATTCCATAAATGAAGTCGTTTAAGATACCATTTCCTTCCCTTAAGGAGGCTATCATCTTGAAAGTTTATTTTACAAGTCATATATGTGATATATCAATGATATATGTGATATATCACATATATGTATAAAATAATTTATGCCCAAACATATGTGATGCCAATAACCTGGAGATCTATTTAAAACTCAAATGTTTGATCCCCATTTTCTGAAGACTGATTCAGAGGTTTATGTACATCCCAAGCATTTGCTTCCGATAGGAAATCAGGACTGAGAAACACTGCTATATGTAATAAAGAATGGAAAGGTATAATATTGATTTTAAAAAAGATTGTCATCCAAAATGCATTAAGATAAAATTAAATTTGCACTTAAGAAGGGTTAAGCCTTCAGCTCTTTAGGAATTTTGTGTATCTAGAATGGTCCATTCACCATATTTTGCAGGTAAGTTGGACCTTTTCAGGCATAGATGCAAGAGATATGTTGTATATATTGCAGAACTCTTGACTCAAATATGTACCATATTAACCCTGTGACCTCATAGATAGTCTGAAGATTTTGTTTTCTTCAAAAATACTCAATATTGCAAAAGTCGTGGCACTATGGTCCCTTCATTCAACCAATACTTGTAGGGATCTGCTGTGTGCTAGGCATTAGAGTTGGAAGTCTGTGAGTCTGTGGTAGGTACACCATCTTAGAGTTTACATTTCATTTGTAAATTATTTGATTATTTGATAAACACGATGAAAGAAAAGTATCCTGTTTCCTTACAATGTTAAAGTATCAAAGTTTCCAGGTTGAAAAAAACGCTTAAGGACCTAGGTTCTTTGATAGACACATTTACAATAAAATTCATGGTTTGTCTTACTTGAAGAGAGAGGGATGATTTTCATAATAGACCCAGTATATCTCCTCTCTTTCCAAAAGACCTCTTTTCATTTTCCTAGTTCAGGGCTCTGATAGTCTTTTCAGAAAAGAAACTCCTGAAACTATTCCTAGTTCTGAGTTTAAGCCAACAAGGGGAAACAAACTATGATTTTAGGTTCATGGCATTTTTTTTTTGGCCCAATATGGCAAAATGGACTTCCTATCTCCCCTTCAGGCCTCCCCTTCCTTCAACTTTTTTCTACAGTTTTGAGTGTGTGTTGCTGCTGCTTCTTATGACGTAGTATTACCAAATACATGGTATAGCATTACCAAAATCTTTCAAGTTGAGTATGGTATTTAAAATTCACTGCAGTTCTGCAAGGTTAAGTATTTTCATTAAGCCCCATTTTATAGAAGACAAAATTGATCTTGGGCCTTGCCCAAGATCACAAGAGTCAAGAAACGGCAGAGTTGGAAATTAACCACAGATTTAATTTGACCCATCCCCTGTATCTTAAACACATACACCCCAGCCATTATATACTCCCATTGCATTCCAGAGTGCTCCCTAATGTTCTTCTTTTATCCATTCGTTTAATAGGATTTGGGGTCATATCTTAAATTATCTCCCAGTTTAATCAGTAAAAACTTTACTGCTATATAAATCCCCTCCCTAAATTCCATATTTTAAACTCATTGCGCCACTCCAATTAATTGTCCAAATTACTGCAATCATATTTTCTTTCTTCTTCCTTTTTGTGACTCTTTTTTGTTTATCCTCGCAGTGGCTAGAACAATAGTCAAATATGAAAACTTTGTTTTTTACTGTCAGGATGTCTCTAAGGGTCGCAAAAGTGAGCCTTTTAAGTGATGCACTTAATCACTCTTTCTACAACTTAAAATCAAAGATTCTACTTCCAAGTACCAACAGGAAAGACAGATTAATGCATGTGATATATCATCTCTGGAACCTTAAAGTCATGAAAAAAGAAAGCTCCTCTACTTGAAGAGAAATGTTCTTTCAGCTGCTTTTGAATTGTTCAGCATGTTCTTAGTTTACTGAGCTGGGGTCTTACATGAGAGAATGCCATTAGAACAATTTTCTTGGCAATGAAAGCAACGTGTGGTGCGAATCTATTGCCTTTCATTTTTCTGACATCTTGGGCACGTAGTAATGCTGGTCGTGTTAATTGATTTTGAGACTGTCGGAAATCCAATGTTTTCTGGTTTTTGGTTATTTAAGAAAATTATCACCAGTCTACTGCTTGGCTAGCAAATATATTTGCTTTGAGTTTCACTGTTTTCTTGTTTCACAGTGAATGTGCTAGTGAGTTTTTCTGATAATCTGTATATTTACTAGGAACATTTTTTAAAATACTCCAATGAAGATAAAGGTGTTTTTTCAGAGATATGTCTTGGAAAACCCAGTCTGGTTTGAAATAATGTTGCCAACTATTCTCTGATGTAAAACTTGTTTTTTTTGTTTTTTTTTTTTAAAGGTACCACTGTGGCACTCGTTATTCTTGCCTTGGGATTTCTGCTATCAGCCCAGGTTTCCCCACGCATCACGTTTAAACCAGTAGCTCCATCAGGACAGAACACTACTTGCACAAGATACAGGTGAGTTTTCAGAATGGTCCCTTAACCTAACTCTAGTACCTTCTACTAGTACCTTTTTGTTTACTTTTAACTTTTCTACAATTTGAGAGATAAGTAGAAGCTTGCATACAGAGGAAGGTAAGGGTGGGAAAGGTGACGGGCAGGGACCACCAGAAGGAGGAATAGCATTTGCAAAGACACGAGGGTAAAAGTGGTTAAGGAAAAAGGGAGTTTGACACAATGTTGATGATGTTTTTCTGGAAATTAAAAGTTGGGATTGTTAGGCAATCTAAGCAGAAATACTGTGAAACCATTTTAGATGATATACGACTCAGTGGCATCTACATTCCAGGTAAAATAAATAACTTTAGTGAGCAATTAAACTCTTCTATGATATACATGTCTGATATAGTAGATTATAATCGGCATATTCTAACAGTCTTCACAGAGTTCCACAGGTATCCCCTCATTCATGTAAGCAGAAAAGGAAGTTTCCTTTCACTGCTGGGGTTCTTCTACAGCATTAGAAAGTAGAAAGAGATGGTGGAAGAAAGTGAAATATATTCTGATGGCCAACTGCAGGTGTAGGGGCTCCAATGTTAAGTCTAATGATAGACACACTGTGTGATTAGAAGTTGGAGAGATGGATGGATAGACAAGTGGACTGAAGAATGAACAAACGAATTAATTAGAGATTGAGCAGAACAATTATCTAGCAGCACAGTTTCAAAGTTTATAACTTCATTTTAGTGGTTGAAAAGGCTAGCAGCCCCTTTAAAATATATGGCTAGAACAAGACCTAGCTTTAAAAACAAAATATGATATTCCATCAGCCTCAATTAGATGGACACAGTCAATAGGTGAATGATTTGTTAATTTATTAACTTTTAGTCAGATACTCCTGTATGAAATTAAAACATTACATGGATATACTGAAATCCACTTGGGATCCACTTGCAAGTTCTTATTGAGCAGGTATTATATTTATGGTGGAATTCTCATTACAATAATGAGGAAGCTATATATTGCTATGCCTTCCTGGTCCAAAATTCTGATACCCACTTTCCTTTAGAGATAAATGGTTATACTCCTTCTTTCTCTTACTAATAAGGTTACTTATTCATTGGCTTACTGATTTTTTTAGTAGTCTTTATCATGTTCTAAAGAAGACTTAAAGATAAAAGAAGTTAACTTTAGATAGACCATTCCTAGATGTAGTGATGTTTACTTTCTTTGGACATCCCACATCAACTGCTAGATGATAGAGCCATTACCAGAATTCTGCGTGCTCTACTTTTTTTCTTTTTTCTTTTTTTTTTAATGTTTATTTTATTTTTGAGAGAGAGGGCAAGTGAGCGGGGGAGGGGCAGAGAGGGAGACACAGAATCCAAAGCAGGCTCCAGGCTCTCAGCTGGCACAGAGCCCAATGTGGGGCTCAAACTCAGGAACCAGGAGATCATGACCTGAGCCAAAGTTGGCAACTGGCTGATCCACCCAGGTGCCCCTTCTTTTGTTTTTCTTGATGGATATTTTAAGTAAAATGTTTTCAGCAGTTACTTCTGACAAATTATTTAAAAAATCACTGTTGTTTGAGCAACAACTCTAGTATGATATCTGATTTAGATGGAGTAGTTTAGATCCAGAGTAAGACTGATAACATGCATGGTCAAATCATCTAAAGATAGAAAGTCAGCTGGAGTATGAGAAAAGTTTTATGAGCTTCTGATACACAAAAAGAATAAATAACTTTTGAATGATTTTCATAATAAATTAGTTTTCTTGACATCAACTTTTAAAGTTTAAATAAAAATACTTATTACCCTAATATAGTTTGCATAGAAGTTTATGATTATCAACCTATTAATCCTTCTGTTCCTTCTAAGTTGTCATCTACCTAATATCTCAACACCAAGGTATAATGGAGTAGGAGAATTGATTCAGCCTACTTTTATTCTCATCACAAAAATGGGCAGCAGTTTTTAAAGCGGAACCAAATTTTTGATGTCCTTTGGGAGTTGGTAAATGTGGAAAACGGTTATATATTTTGTGCCTTCTTTCAGGGTAACATATTAGCCTTTGTGGGTATTTGACAGTGTGTATATATAGTCTGAGTGATTTTATAAAATAGGCCTGCATTCCCTTTACTTATTTTATTCTGTTATCCTTACTGATTTTGTTCTTGTTTTTGTTAAGACTATGTATACATTTTCCCCTTTAAGATAAACATGAAAGTCATGTTTGTAATACAGTACCATAGGATGAGTAATGTTTAGGCAGTAAATGTAGGTGCTGTGCTTTTCCCATGGAATTGAGCAAATAAGACAGATTTAAAAGGGAAATTGATTTAATATCTATATTAAAAATATTGTATACTATTGATGGAAGTGTAAATATTTATTCTTCATTTCAGAAAGAATACAGTTCTGCCTAATAAAAATTAAATGCCTATGCCCACTGACTTAATACTTCTATTTGTAGAGATCTGTAGACTGTAGTGATGCGTATGTAATCCATTCCAATTAGAGTCCAGTAGATGATTTACAAAAATGAATGGTTCAAGAATGGTGGTTCTTTTTTAGTTTTATAGATATTCATTATGTGGCAGGCATTAATGTAGGTTTGGGCCCATAATATTGTAGGTTGAGGGTCACTAAGTATTTGAACCCAAGAGATTGACGATTCTAAATATTTTCCAGTGTGAACTTCCCATTTTTGGATTGTTTTGATTTTTTTTGTTGAAGTATAATTAACATGCAGTGCTATATTAGTTTCAGGTATACCTTTCACATTGGTGACTTATTTTATAACTGTGAGTCTGTTCTTCTTCATTTCCTTCACCTATTTCTCCTATTCCTCCATCCACCTCCAATCTGGTAACCACCTTTTGTTATCTATATTTAAGAGTCTTTTTGGGCTTTTTGTTGTTGTTTCTTCGTTTTGTTTTTTAGATTCTACACATAAGTGGAATCGTATAATATTTGTCTTTCTCTGTCTGACTTAATTTCATTTGGCATAATGCCCTCTAGGTCCATCCATGTTGTTGCAAATGTTAAGATACCATTCTTTTTTATGGCTGCATAATATATAAATACTGTATATTCTTTGTCCATTCATTTACTGGTGGACACTTGGGTTGTTTCATACCTTGACCATGTGTGTAATAAACATAGGGGTGCATATATCTTTTTAAATTAGTGTTTTTGTTTTCTTTGGGTGAATAACCAATAGTAGAATTATTGGATCACCTGATATTTCTATTTTTAATTTTTTGAGGAACCTCCTTCCTGTTTCCTGCAGTTGTTGCACCAATTTACTTCCTGCCAACAGTGCAGGAGGATTCCCTTTTCTCCATATCCTTGCCAACACTTGTTATTTCTTGTCTTTTTATTTCTAGCCATTCTAACAGGTATTAAGGTGATTCCTAGCTGTGGTTTTGGTATGCATTTTCCTGATGATTAGTGATGTTGAGCATCTTTTCATGTGTCTTTTGGCCATCTGTATACCTTTTCTAAATTTTTTTTTTCAACATTTATTTATTTTTGGGACAGAGAGAGACAGAGCATGAACGGGGGAGGGGCAGAGAGAGAGGGAGACACAGAATCGGAAACAGGCTCCAGGCTCTGAGCCATCAGCCCAGAGCCTGACGTGGGGCTCGAACCCATGGACCACGAGATCGTGACCTGGCTGAAGTCGGACGCTTAACCGACTGCGCCACCCAGGCGCCCCATTGTATACCTTTTCTAAAAAAAAATGTATATTCCGGTTTTCTGTGCATTTTTTGATCAGATTGTTTTTCTTTAGTGTTGACTTGTATAATAAGTTCTTTATATATTTTGAATATGAATACCTTCTGGGATATGTCATTTGCAAATATCTTCTCCATTCACTGGGTCACCCTTTTGTTTTGTGGATGGTTTCCTTTGCTGCGTAAAGGCTTTTTATTTTGATGTAACCCCAATAGTTTATTTTTGCTTTTGTTTTTCTTGACTGAAGAGACATTCATAAATATGCTGCTAAGGGTGGTGTCCAAGAGATTACTACCTATGTTTTCTTCTAGGGGTGTTTGGGTTCCAAGTCTTACATTTAGGTCTTTAATCCATCTACAGTTTATTTTTGTGTATGGTGTAAGAAAGTGGTCCAGTTTCATTTTTTTTAATGTAGCTGTACAGTTTTCCGAACACTATTTATGGAAAAGACAGTCTTATCCCTTATTGTGCATTCTTCCCTCCATTATCATTAGATGATTGACCATATAAGTGAAGGTTTCTTTCTGGATTCTTTTTTTTTTTTTTTTTTAACTATTTATTTGAGAGAGAGAGAGAGAGAGAGAGAGAGAGAGAGAGCACACACTGCAGAGGAAGAACAGAAAGAGAGGGAGACACAAAATCTGAAGCAGGCTCCAGCACAGAGCCCAGCACGGGGCTTGAACCCACGAATCGTGAGATAGTGACCTGAGCCAAAATCAGTGCTCAATCTGCTGAGCCACCCAGGTGCCCCAAGGACTCTCTATTTTGTTCCATTGATATATGTGTCTGTTTTTGTGCTAGGACCACACTGTTTTAATTACAATAGCTTTGTAGTATATCTTGAAACCTAGGATTGTGATACGTCTAGCTTTGCTCTTCTTTCTCAGGAAAGCTTTGACTAGGTCTTTTGTGGTTCTAATACAAATTTAGAATTATTTGTTCAATTTATGTGAAAAATGCTGTTGGTATTTTGATAGCATTGCATCAGATCTGTAGATTGCTTGGGGTAGTATGAACATTTTAATGATATTAATTCTTCCAGTGTATGAACATGGTGTAACTTTCCATTTGTGTTGTCTTTAATTTCTTTCTTCAGTGTCTTATCACCTTCAGTATAGGCCTTCAACCTCCTTTGTTAAATTCATCCCTAGGTATTTTATTCTTTTGGTACAATTGTAAATAGAACTGTTTTTTTTTTTTAATTCTCCTTTTGCTACTTCATTATTAGTATACAGAAAATGCAAGAGATTTCAATATATTACTTTTGCATCCTGC